GTAATTTACTCCTGCTATAATCACGCTTGGATAAGAATGTGACATTTAGGGTCCATTACATTCTGTTATCGACACATTAGCGGATTGACACCACGGCCATTCACAACCGCTTCGCATTCCAACGATGTCGTTACCGAGAGGATTAAACTGGCTGAAATGCAATACAAGCGGATACGAGCGTTGAATCATAGGTTTAATTACATTAGTCTGAGAAGAAAATGGAGAAGCTTATAGTGGTATTCTGATCTCCAATTCAACAGTTCTGCCAAGAATACTTGACTATTAAATAGTTTTCTCTCTAACTTTCTCTCCCTCTCTTCCCCCCCCCCTCTCTCTCTCTCTTCCGTGCGCTAATTTCGTATTCTTAACTCTTGTTAAAGGTACTTAACATACCATAATCGAAATTATAATGTATAATAACATTAGAACAAGAGATATTCGCTTTCAATTAGGTTTATATTATATATATATATATTTTATATATACATATATGTATATATATGTATATATACACATATATATATATATATAAAACGAAAATTCTATCTAAAGATTTTAATATATTGGAATAATTTAAAACGAACAAAAAATAAATGAAAAAATTATCAATATCAAATCTTATTGGACCGTGAGAGTTTTTAAACTAAATACCGTTGAGAATAAGGTCATTTACGGTCAAACTGGATCTTGGATGCTTCTAATATATGATAATTTCGTGTGAATTTATATATATTATGTATGTAGATCCTTAAATGCGCGCCGAAATTTTTTTCAGACTTAGTTCGACTCCAGGCCGAGGTAATATTTTTCGCAATGTATAAATTAATTATTTATAGATTTTTAATATACTATTCATAGATTTTAATATGTCATTCAACATACAAAATTGTTTATACGTAGTATATAAATTCACACGAAATTATATTAGAAGTATCCAACTTGACCGTAAATGACTTATTCTCATCGGTATTTATAGTTTAGAAAAAATTATTATATTAATATGCATTTTTTAATACAGTTAAATATTTTACCAAAAATAAAAATATGACAGCGTCACATAAAACATGTAAATACATTTAGCACAATTAATATTTAACACAATATAATAAATGACGACAATAATACAAATAACATACTAATAAATAATTAAAACTAATTATATAATCTCTCTCTATCTCAATATATCAAGTTTATTTTCCTTGATTGAGAGCGATAATCACAGACTATCGAATTTTCGAGACCGAGATTGCTGCTTTGAAATTCTCTTGCACCGACACTATAAAAAGTAAAAGTTGGATGCTACGACCTCGTTTAATCGCATAACGGAGCAGCCGAGGATAAGAGAGTAAATGGAAGTCACAGACGAGCTCGTCCAATCCTTGGTCAAGATTTAACCTACGGATTAGTCTAATTCGCACTTAACAGCCCTCAACTCGATCAGGCGTTCACTTTAGGACTACTAATTAAACAGGCTCTGGTGCAACAAATCGATCGATCTTGAAACTTCAATTGGGCTCGGTGGACCACTTGCTAACAATCGTTTTGACCAAGACTAATCCTACAATCGCATTGTCTCGTTCTGAATGGAACGAGCGATAAATCCCTCATAAAAAGAATAAAAAGATACAGAACAGAGATTTGTCAGTAACACACATCGAACGCAAATACTTTGTTTTTATCTTTAGCAGTATTTTACATTGTTAAGAGGTAAAAAACCAATAAACGATGCTACAACAATACAATTATCGCGCTTTGACAAAAATTAAACTCAATTAAAAATCAAATCAGTGATTTGACTTTCAATCAAATCATTGATTTAACTTTTAATCAAATTATTTTACACATGATGTGCTTTTTCCTGTTAGATTACTTGCGTTTTAGTAAATTATTAAAACTGCATCACACAGAACGCAGAATCTCTACCTAATTTACCAAAAGACAAGCAATCCAGCAGGAAAAAACACATCACGCGCACCGTGTGATACATGAAATTCTAAATAGAATTCTATTTCGTATTCTAACGTCATTTATAGATTGTCTAACGAAAGAGTTTTTAGAAAATTTTATATATTAAATTTTAAGTATAGATTATCTAATAGAGCTTCTAGCAGAGAACTGGTGCGCACTTAGGGATACATTAAACAAACTTTATCACGATCGGTATACTGACGATCGTGGTAATATTTTGCAGAGTTGCGTACATCTATCCGAGATTCAAACCGCTCGCGCTGTGGCTAATAGACGTACGTGTTTGAGATACACACGTACCACATGACGGAATCTGCAGATTGAGTTACCATCCAGTGGGTCGAAATTAATATTCATGAAACATCAGCATTGCTAATTATAAGTTTGCAGGAAATGTTTATTAACTGTCAATCAATTTTCTTCGATCCATACTCAATATTGCATGCATTAAATTGAAACAGTTAAATTGATAAATAAAATGAAAAAAAGATATTTTGCAATTTTATTAAAAATGATACACGATATTTTACTGTTCGCAAAAAATGTTCCAGATCTAAATATAAATGTCCAACTGTCCGCTTTTTTATTTTTACACGCGCTTGATATTTTTGTCTCGCACAATTGTGCATTCTTTTTCATTTTGTTCAAAATTTTCACCTTACGACATTACCTTGTATCGATACGCAAATTTATATCGTAAGATAATGTTCAAAGAACTTGTCTTTAGATAAAAAAAATCATAATACAATCCAATTCTTTATTTACATAACATACAATCAATAGAAGCAAATTGAAACATTTTGAATTGTTCAAAATCTGAAACTCATTTCTGATTTTAAGATCACTTTCGATCCTTATTAATTAGTTATTTGTTTAATTTAGTATCAAATCTTCGTATATTAAATTATTTTTCAATAGTTTAATTTTCTCTCTCTCTCTCTCTCTCTCTCTCTCTCTCCCCCCTTCCCCTCCCCCTCTCCCTCTCTCTCTTTCGTAATACGATTCATCCACTTCAGAAAGATAGGACACAACTAATAACACAGCGTGATTATCTTATATCTATAATAACAAAAAAATAATATGATATAACGATATGAATTCAAATTGTTATACTAGCAACGAAAGTTGTTATCGTAAAATATATAATCGTAAGATATAAAATTGATATATTAAATTGGCTCTGATTTACTGTTTAAATGTGAATCTGTCTACAAAGACGTGATACTTCTTCTATGTTTTTGCGCTTGTTATTGTCTCAATAGTTTCTTTCTTTCATATTATATGTCCACAACGACTGAGCCATCAACACCGATTTAACATTTTGTCAATATAACATTTGTAAGTTATAACACAGTACTCCAAAATAATAATCAAATAAGTAAAATAAACGATATATTCCAATCAACTTAATATATATTCTCATAATTTATCATATTCATGTAACATTATTTTTTTACATATATGTATGTGTGTGATAATAGAAATTAATTAATTTATTAATTATTTTTTGTGTGTGTGTGTGTGTGTGTGTGTGTGTGTGTGTGTGTGTGTGTGTGTGTGTGTGTGTAAATTAGTCAATTTAATGTATCAATCGGTATACAGTGTGGTTCTCTTATCTTATAGTTAAATATATAAGTCACAAATTTGCTTTTTCTCTTCTTTCTGTTCTTTCATAAGAAAATAATTAATGACTATATTTCGTACAGCATTTAAAATTAGAGATCTATCTTAATTATAATGTACATCATATTCCCATGACATAAAACATCTTTGTATTTAGATTTAATCTCATGAGTCTATGTTTTCATAGAATTGTTAAAATATAAATACTTTAAAAATAGAACTCATTGGTCAAAAATTATTCTCCTTTTTGTGTTGAGTCTTATCTTATCTTATTGTTAGTTTTATTGCACTATGTGACATAATTAAAGCTATCAAATAGGAATGAGCATAAACGTAAACACATTTTTCCGGAAGAAGAATGTTATGGAAATTTCCTTACTTTTAAAAATAGTAATTTATAAGGAATATCGAATAAAAATTGAAAATATGTACCTTATTTATAATATTTATTTATGCAAATTTTCCGTAAATTAAACTTTATATCAAGTAATGACATGAGAGTATATTCAACGAAGAATATAAACTATTTTAATTTTATTAATACAAGTCATATAAAAACAATTATCCTCATTCTTTCATATGATAGATTGTATCATATTTATATGCAACTCATAAATCAACGATTTTTCAGAATTCTTCAAGTCAAAGAGACTTAAAAACATTTTATAAAAGTTTATAGATTTACTCCTTTGTAAATAATCCATAATACATGTCGAATTTCTTAGAATGATGTCTATTTATAATGTTATGAGCCATATAAATTGATATACGAGTGTATATGTGTATTTTAAAATGCATGTGTTTCAAACCTTTTAATATATTTTTGGAAATGACTTTAGACGATCTATAAATTTTCTATTTATAATTTCACACATTGTTTGATACAATATGGAAAACATTTAAAGAACCTGACCTAAAAGATAAAATTTGTTACCAAATAAAATTCTACCCTGATGTCTGACATAAATTATGTTATGACACACCTAAGCCTAATCTACAATGTGTGCTTTACTTTCTGTTTCTTGTTTTTCTGTGCCTTTTTCCTCCTTGTCGACCGTTTTATCGACAATCGTTTTCTTTTCATGTATTTCTTATCTCTTTTGAAATTCAACTTTTGTCTTGGACAAAAGAAAACAAAAATCTAAGTAAGAAGCAAAAAGGTAAGAAATAAAATATGATAAGAAACAAAAAACAGGAAGCACAAGCAAAGAACACATTGTAGATTAGAGAAACTTAAGTCTCCCGATAACCTGTCTAATAATAGATAAATTATCTTTCCTATTGCTCAATTAGTATATAGCATATATGTACGTGAGGTGTGAACGTGCAACGCAATATTCGTGGAAAACGAACCTAACCGTCACTCGCGGTGGAATGGCAGTCTGAAAACGCTTCGGAGGAAAAAAAAAACCACATCAGCAACTGCGCTGACGATCGCGCAGCGGGATTGTGGGGAAGGGAAACTGAAGTTTCTAACGACATGTATGTGCACCAGTACGGCATTACGCTTCGCACATGATAAGTTCGCACGGAGGAAACTTGTCGCGGCTACACAGTACTGTTATACTTACATAAGTATAATTTTATTCCAGGTAATTAATCAATTTTTTCAACAGACCCTTTATAACATCAGGTGTTACCTGTATTTGTACCAAACTAATCTACCTTGTAGTTTGTGCTTAGAATATTGCAGCTTTTTTCCTCACAAACTTCATTGGCATGTTCTACGAGTACAATGTTAAGGAAGATTTTATGCAGATGCAAGCCCGAGAATGCTTTATTAAATTACTTACAAAATGTCGCCTGGGAAGGACGCTATTATCCTATTATATGCTAACTATTTTCTAACTCTTTTCAGCTAATTATTTTCTAATTTAGTCATCATGATGAAATATGTATACGAATTCTAAATTCCAAGAATTTTGCTTAAAAAAATAATATTTCCAATAATTAGCGAAAAATTACCTGCGCGCAGGTAATTTTTCGCTAATTACTGGAAACTTATCGTTCTCCTTTTGTCGAAATTATATATATTAACGGTTCGCACAGTATTATATTTTTATCAAATTTTTTAACTTAAAAATTATTACGATTGCTAAGCGTAATTAATTCAATCAACCAATAGATTTATTTACAAAATTTCTAATTATTTGATAAATAAACTATCCGCAATATAATAGTAGATTGATAGTAAATTCGATTAAAAATCACTAGCAAATTAGCATCATTTGTGTAAACATTGAACTTGTGTTTTATCGACTGAGTTTGTTGTCAAAATTTGAAAGCAAATTGGCAGCAAAAATCGAGTAGAATTGAAGACGAATGCAGATTCTGTTCTATTTCTGTCATCAATTTTCAAACTGTAATAAGTATGCCAAAACTTGTTTTCTTGACATCAATCAACTATTTATTTTGACGATAAACTTAACTATTTATATTTCTGCCAACATTTCATCAGCCTTATGCATATATCAAATTTTTTTGCCAACAAAATTTACAGACAAAATCTCAACCTAGCAATAACGAAAAGTTCATAACTTTATCCACATTGACGAAAGTATTATTATTTCTAATATTACAACTTGATAAATTAATCCCCAATTAAGTTAATCATAGCATTTGGTCAAACTTTTTCATTCTTTCGAAAGTGCTTGAGATTTATTCTCGATCACTTTGACATTCAAGCCATCTTTTATATTTCACGAAGTCTATCAAATTCTTAAGATATATCCAGAAAAACTGAAAGTCAAATTGTGTATACGCGTGAGAAATAATTCTCTCTTAAAACTGTGTGTTGGCACACCAACTGAAAATTTCTAAATTTATCTACTTACTCCATGTATGAAAATGCAAAATATTATTTAAAATCAAAATTTGCGTGAAGCAAATTTGTTGGCAAAGTGTGCAAGGTTCTTGTTAAGGTTCCCTGGTTTTTGCAAATGCATAGCTCAGAGATTGCAAATCAGTATACCGTATATGTATAGGTCGTTATAAGAGCAAAAGTTTAACGGATTTTAGTGATTGAGTAGGTTAGAGTGTTTGGGCAAAGCGTACTGTAACTTTACGCAAATAAAATAAATTAAAATTATCCGAGTTGGATAAATAAATGTTACTTTACATTAAATTAAAGTTACATTATTGATTGAATTAACTCAAGGTTAATTTTCAAAAACATTTTTATTATTATAAATTACAATAGGCTATTTTTATAAATCGATTAACTTTAGATAATAAAATAATTATAATATAAATCAAATAAATTTAATATCTTATTTGTAAATTGTACGAAATAATGAAGATATTTCTTGTATAAAAAACTAATTTTTAGTATTTTTGCATAAATATTTTAATATTTATATTACGAAAGAAAAACAAAATGTAACGTTTAAAAATGTGAGTAAACTTGTACTCCTCTGTGTACTTGCAATACTAGTACGTTTTTTTAAAAATTATATGTAAATGGTTTTTTTCATTATTATCGCTTATTAGACGTAAAAGGATGCATGACGCAGTAATACTGATAACGTACTCTAAATGCAGACCATTACAAAATATGCGATCCATATTCATCTTTGGACACGATCCGACAAGCGTTTTATACATATATTGACCTTTTTTTAAAACTAATTTTCTAGTATATAAATTTTTATAAAATATAATATTAGCATTTACAGAGATAAGAAAAGTGTGAAACTAAAAATAAAAGAATTAATAAACTAAAATTTAAAATACTAAGTTTTATTATTTTATTTGAAATAAAAAGGAGTAATTTGGACAAATCCACTTAACTTATTAATGTGCGTATCAACAACAATGCTGCACTTTCGTTCGTCCTTAATCACTGGAATTCATGATTTTAAAGTTAAAAACTAAATGAAATTAAAAGTTAATATTCTTTTAACTTTTTATTTAACTTTTAACTATTATTAACTAATTACTATTCAATCATGAAAATTTTTATGTATTTTTCATTGCTTTCTTGCTAACTTGTTAATTTTTAAAAAATGTTTAAGATATAATTTTTAAACAAATATTTATAATAATAGGCCATATAAAGGGAGTACTCTACTGAACTAAATTCGCCACGCATGCGCGAGAAATTTAATTCACAAAAACTATGTTCGATTTTAACACGTTCAACGCTTCTATGTTTATTTTACGTCTAATAAACAATGAAAATGTTCCGTTATTTATTTGCAAGTAAATCTATAATTTACGTTACGTATACTATAAATTTTCAATACTTGCAATAAATAACACAACGTAGCCAAAGGCAGAATAATGATTATAAGCGCTTAAAGCGCACGAGTGATCAAATCGAACGCAGTCACAATCAGCTGGGACTGACTCATGGTCTCGTGCCTGTTTAGATTTCGCATATATTCATATACAGACGTTCTTTTATTCTTCGTTACAAACACTTTCTTTGTATTTAATTGGAGTGGTATTAATTCGATATAAAAAGTTGATATGAAAATACTTTGAAGTTTATAAAATGAAAATATTCATATTTTCATACATAAATAAAGTAAAATTTTGAAGTCAAATAACCTAAATAAATGCACTGTAAACATGACGTTCGCAATATTGTATGAATATTTTAACATAAGAAATTTTTATACGTTGGCGTTTTCTGTAAGAACATTAATATCAATTTCCTAGCACAAATTGCAATGCAATTAAAATAAAAGGCAAAAATAAAAATGAGGTGAAACACAAATAAACAATTAATTTAAGTCAAAGGTTAAAACTAGTTATTCATTAATATACAATATGGAACGTTTCGATTATATACTAAGTGTTCGTTGAGCCACTACAACAGAAAATAATTTAACAGTTTGAAAACAAATTGAATACATAAAATTCTTAATAATTAAAAACATTGAAATGAAAATTGATATTAAACATTAAATTTTTCTTTATACGTCATGCTGAGGTTTATATTAAAACTAATACTTTCTTCGCTTTGAAAGATAAGGAAGAATAGAATCAAGGAATTAAAATTTATGAAAATCTAAAGGTATGTAGAACCTTGAACTTCATAATCAAAGAATTAAATAGAACTGTGATTCTGAATCATTCAATGGAATATGTGTTAAAGCAAAAGCTTCATGTACTTTACTTATAACGATCAATACAGTTGGAATTTCTGTTAGAAACTCTATTTTTTCAATAAAATGGTATGAAGTACTCCCCGTTACAAACAAAAGTTACATTTTATAAAATAATACTTTGTCAGATATTTCAACTTTTGATGTAAAATAATCTTTTTAATAAAATATATGTGCAAAATGAATATAAATACAGAAAGTGATTCTATAATATGAACTTGCTTTGCCTTTAAATTAAAAAAAACCATCCATACTTCTGAAATTGTTAAACTCTACAATTTTAATTCTTATACAAGACTTGTTTCCACATTTTCATGTAAGTTATTTATTATTTTTTATTACATAGTTATTTAGTAAACTATATCTTTTTTCTTCTTACAGAAATATAATTGAGAGTATCGAAGATGAATAAGGAATGGATTATTGTTTATCTAATAGTATGTGCACATCTATCGTATCAGGTAAACAAGCAACTTCTTATCTATTTAACAACAATATATATTTTTAATATGTTTAACTATATTATTCAATCTGAAATGTCATTATATCTATAAATTTTAAATATTTTATTACAGAAATCAACACCAGATTCACCAAATTATATAGCAGCTGTAGTAGAGTATCCCCCAATATATTCAACTAATGGTAATGAGACTTTGAGAATAAATTCTGACGCATATGTCGAACTTATTAAAGAAGCTAGTCAGGGTGTAAGTTTTCTTTAAAAAAAATATGTAGTTTTAAACATTTTATAGATTGTATCATCAATATAAATTAGCATTTTCACAAACATATTCTATGTTACAAAAATTATTTAAAACCTATATTTTTTTAGAATGCTGATATAATCGTTTTTCCTGAAAATGGTTTGACTACAGTTCAATTGCCGGAAAGAGAAAAAATGGAGGATTGGACAACATTTATTCCTAGTGTCTCAGCTAATTATATACCTTGCAATCAAAATACTATTGTAGTTAGCGAAGTACGTATATCTGATGTACAGTATACAGTGTATACAAGTTTTGTATCGCGAGAAATTGATATAAAGTATTGAAATTATGTAAAAAAAATTTTGAAATTACAGACGTTGAAAAAAATATCATGTGCTGCAAGGGATAATAACATCTATGTGGTAATCAACATCCCTGAGAAAGTACCTTGCTATGACGTACCTTGTCCAAGAGACAAAGTGTTTTATTACAACAGCAACGTTGTATTTGATCGCACGGGAAAAATTATTGCCAGGTTAGAACAATATCTAGTTCTTCGTTATAATTACAGTTGCAAGAGATCACGCGATTTTATAATATACATTATCCAATTATAATCAAAATAGGTATCGTAAAACGAATCTTTATAAAGAATACCAATTTAATGTGACAACAATACCAGAAGTAGTTAGTTTTGATACTGATTTTGGAGTGAAATTTGGAACTTTTATATGTTTTGATATATTATTTTACGAACCTGCGCTAGAATTAACAAGAATTCATCAAATTACCGATTTTGTATATACTACAGCATGGTTTTCTGAAGCACCATTTTTAACAGGTAAACGAAATGTCAGATCCTCTTTCCTTTTTCCAAGGTTTCATTAAAACATACAATAATATTACTTATTATTTTAGCTGTGCAAACACAAGTAGGATGGTCATATACTGAAAACGTAAATCTCTTGGCTTCGGGCTATAACAGGCCTGGCTCTGGCAATGCTGGTAGTGGAATTTATTTAGGTGTGTAAAATTATATTTTACATTTTAAATAATATTTGATAGACATAACGATGATAATATGATTCGCAGTTAGAACATTTTATTGTGCACATGTAAAGATAATTTTTCATGCAGGTCATAAAGGAGTCGGAAAGGCAATAATGCCTGCAGCTACGCATACGGAAGTATTGATATTTGAAGTACCCAAAATAAAAAAGGAAACTAAATATAATAGAAACTATCAATCAATGGATCCTTCAACGACTCAAAATCAAAAAATTGTACCATATCACCATGGGACGAAAGAGCATGTACTTTTAAAACATGATTCTATTCAAGCCTTTGAAACGGTTTCTTTGACAGGCAATGCTACAGAAACTATCTGTCAAAATGGATTTTGTTGCGAGTTTAAAATAGAAATTATGAAAATAGATTCAAGTACAAAATATCGTTTAGTAGTTTTTAATGGATACAGACATTATGGTGACGTTATGGCTGATGTACGTACATGCGCTATAATTCAATGTTTGAACAACTCGGTTTCATCATGCGGTTCCGTACAAGAATCAGAAACGATATTCAGCAATATTGAGATCATGGCAACATTCCATGATTATAAAAACTATTTAATTATGCCATCTACGTTAGATCCATATTTACTTCCGCTTAAAGATTGGACGTTTCTTGATCACATCCACAACGATCATGTGCATATTAATATGTTTTCAAACAATCATACAAACAATTTAGTAACGTTTGGAATATATTCGAGGAACTTTAATAAGAGCAACGCAAATAGAACATCATTTTATACCGTTAATTATTTCATAATATTATTAATAACTTTATTATTATCAAAATTGTAAATTATATATTTATACACGCGACACGTCTATATACTTTTAAATATATTTTGCATATATAATTTTATGTGACAGACTTTCCAGAAATCATGCATTTTTTAATTATATTTATTCAATATATAATAATTCAATAATTCTTTGCTTCTACTTTTTAATATCAAGGAATAGAAAATTAGATCAAAAGTTAAATTTTAATTTGCACATTTTCTTGTAAATTTGCAAGTTGTGGCATTTGACATGAATGTGCATAATTTTTTGAATATTGTGTATACAAATGCAAAATATGTTTTTGATATAATTATATACAAATGTATACATACTAGAATTTTGTTGTTATAATATAAGAAATATTGTTGTTTATTATAAAATTATTATCGTGATTCTATTATTACTGTGTTAATTTTATATATATATATATATATATATATATATATATATACACACACACATGTATACATACATATAGTATATATTATATTTTCGAAATTGTTTATATGTGATAAGTTAATATACATATTTATATCAGTGTATACTGTATAGTTGCTTGTTTGACAATCGAAGCGAGGAAAAGTAAGATTTCTACGAAACTTCAGACATTACTTGCCAAATATTTTACAACGATATAATAATAAATATGTTTAAATAAGTGTTACTATTAAAAATGTTTTTTTCAAGGAAATATGTACTTAGTGTTTTTGTTGCAAATTACGATAAACGTCTCTCATCCTTGTTACAGTTATACCAAATTAACTGTAAGTATTATATGGAAAATAAAATCTGTTAACAGTTTATTTCAGGAGAGATTCGAGATATACTGAAATGTAAATATTACTAAATTGTTTTCAAAAAACTTGATATTTCGATATAGAAATACACAATAACATCTTTTTCACAGAATTTTTGACTTTCTATGTAAGGAGAATCAATCATATTTCTTAATTAGTCTTATTATTTATGAATTGTAATTTATATAGTTAATTAAAAATCAATCACATACACAGTAAATCAACAATTAATTATTCCATAATATTTTTACATTAGAATACTGATTAATGATAAAAGTAATTAATAAAAAATAACGCGATGATTAGTTTTATCAGTTTTCTAAATAATATCTTTGTATACTATAATTATTTTCGTATTATTTTGAGCCAGATTTTAAGAAATTGCGTAGATATTCTTATACTGATATACCGAGACCTAATTTTGATGAATATCGGCGAGAATCTTTGAAGGATCTCAAAACGAGAAACCTTGATGAACGAAGAGTGCTGAGAAGCATTTCCTCTTTTGGTAATGGCTGTAAAAAATTCTATCATATCTTGTCGCCGAAATTTTACATCAAATATACTTCTCCTATGATGATAATAAAATATTTCTGTAGAATATTCAGTGTGTTAAGTCAGATATATGTAGATATACAATGAAATACATTTTCAGTCACTTATGTTGCCGGATTATATGTTTTTAAATCTCACTTACTGCACTATGTAATGTTTTGTATGCCTTCACGAGATCTCTTGGCAGAGGCTCAGTTGGAAGTAAAATTAAACGGTATACCGGAAGGAAAAGTATTAGTCGTTAAGTGGCGCGGCAAACCTGTTTTTATTTATCATCGGTAAGAAAATCAACAGAAAACCTTAACAATTATAAAACGAACATACATCAACAAGTTAGCAAGAAACGACTATCAATTAGAAAACGTCAAAATATCACATATGGTATAGTAGTAAGGAGTGCATAGAGAGAGATAAGTCCTAAAAGAGATATTTTTTAGAAACCTTTATAAATTTAAAATGTAAACATTTTTTTATATTTTAAACTTATAAAGATTTCCAAAAAATACGTCTTAAGATTTCTGCATATATTCGCTCACCACTCTATTATACTATCTCAGATTTTAACATCTCAAATGAAAAAATAGAGAATAAATATTTTTGAAAAATATAAAGGAAAATGGCCAATACTATCACATCACTTTGTTCTTAGAGTTTAGACTATATCTCTTAAATAAGAACTACAAGTAAAACTTTAAAAATAGACATATATAGAAATAAAATCTTTAAATAAAATTTTGTAAAGACAAATTTCTATCAATATTTGAGATTGGTAATTAATGTCGGATTACTGACAGAATCAATATTGCAGGTCGCAATCAATTATCGAACAGGAAAGAGCGGTAAACCTATCAGAATTGCGTGATCCAGAAACGGACAATGACAGAGTGAAAAGATCAGAGTGGCTGGTTGTGCTGGGTATCTGTACGCACTTGGGATGCGTACCGATTCCAAACGCCGGCATCATACGTGGTGGTTTCTACTGCCCGTGTCATGGCTCACACTTTGATGCAGCCGGCCGTACACGGAAGGGCCCAGCAATGACCAATCTAGAGATACCCCAATATACATTCGTAGATGACAATAATATAATTATTGGGTGATGCGTCTCCAAATCGATACGTATCGAATCCTAATGAATCTCCGTGAAGAATATAAATTACATATTACGTCACTGTTTTTGTCCTTTCGCTCGAATTAATAATTATACGAATGAATATAATTTTGTACTTCCAACGATATATTAAAATTAAAGCTTACTTCTAAAATAATGTAATAATAAAATAATTTTGAAAAAGAATATTGCACCATCAAAAGACTATTTTCAAGAATTATTGTTCCTTCTTCATTCTAAGACGATTAAATCATTGACATCTCAGAGATCAAACGTTTACAAAAGAAAAGCGTCAGATAAAATCTAAATATAAAACTGTATATTATAACAAATAAATTTATTTTTCTTCTTGCTCGATTATAAGCATACGTTCGTGAATATAATAATAACAGAGCAATATGCGCAGGAAAAACTAATTTTAATCTAATTGCTACTGTTCGTTTAAAAACGCTTCGAGGAAAAAACTAAGCCACCGGCCACGTTGACAATTGCATCGAAATCGTGGAAAGGGAACTCCAAGTATGTAACTTGAGGCATAAATATGCACCAGTAGTATTACACTTCATACATGATAAGCTTGTGCGAAGAGAAAACTTGTCTGCAGTTGTACTTACATAAATAATTTTACTCTGGGTAATTATATTAATTTTTTTTCAATGGATTTACTTTATAACAACAGATATGCTTAAACTTGCTTTGTCTAATCTATTTCACAGTTTGTACAATTTGGAGTAACTTTTGCCATCGCAAACTTTATCAATATGTTCTACAAGTACGCAATATTAAAAAAGAAAGTTTCACGGGAATGATTTATTAAATTTGTGTCAACAAAACATAGAAATAGATGTTAACACTATTATACATGTATAGGTACGCTAACTATTTTCTAACTCTTTTTAACTATTTGTTTTCTAATTTAATTGTCATCATAATTCAATGAAAAGAGATGAAACTTTCGAAAAAGTTACGTTATTGCATCAATCATTTGATTTTTAACATATAATTAGTCCACAAAATCCTGAATCAAATATACTTTGAATTACTTTACGAACTCTTTTGATTTCTGAGAAATATAATTTTATAAAGTTATGTTAAAACTATAATAATGGAACTATATATAGTTATCTATGTTACATTTTAGATATATTATTTTGAAGTTTAAAAAGTAGAAAACTTTGAAGTAATACAGTTCAGAAACCAGAAGAGTCCGCAATGTGATTCGAAGTACGCGTGATTTAGTATTTTATAAGAATTACAATTACACAGACACACAAAATTTAATTTTTGATTAGAGATTAGGCCATGTTATTTTTATGTATTTTGACGCTCTAAAATCGAAAGTACAAATTACTTCATTACATCACAATTTTTTCTATCGATGAAAAATAGCTCGAGTTTTAAAATACACAAAAATATCATTGTCTAATCTTTGAATTAAAAAAATGTTTTGTGTGCTTGAGTTGTGTGTAAAAATTAAAATGATGAATAACGTATAATTTTTTCAATAGTTTTACTCAAATATATATATATAAGCATGAGTCGTTTCAAGTCCTATGATACTACAGAATTACGTTTCCAATAATTAGTGACAATTACACGCAGATAACACTGTCCGATAAAATTTGCGACACAAGTATGAGTCATTTCTGATACATTTTTGTTTGCGACAACATAAGTTTTGTAAAGAAAACGATATTAAAGAAGCCAAAAACGATGATTTTCATGATGTTGTAGTGACAACAAATTTTTTTCTGAATTTTGTTCATACCACGTTAAAGTACACAACATCTAGCTTTAAATGCATTTTATTTTAATTTTTTTTTTACTGAAATATAGGTTCAGAATAAATACAAAATTCCTTTGCCTTTAAATTAAAAAAGAACTTGTATGCGTACTTCTGAAACTATTAAAAATTGATAATTTCAATTCTTATACGTGACCTATTTTCAAATCATAATCTTTTTATGTAAATTATTCATTATTTCTTTTTATATTTTTATAATTATTTTTTAATAAACTACGTCCACTTTTTTTCTTTTTACAGACACTTTAATTGAGATTATCAAATATGAATCAGCAATGGATTATCGTTTATCTGTTAGTAGCTTGTGCACATTTATCGCATCAGGTAAACATAAGCAATTGTTATCTATTTAGCAGTGATTTTAGCAATGCATACACTTTTATGTATGTTTAATTATATATTGTTCTATCTAAAGCATCTTCAGCAAACTATTCTATAAATTTTCTATACATATTTTAATATTTATATATAATTGAATTGTTTTTGCTCGTTATAAGTCTTGATATCAATTTACATCACTATACATATTTTATCACAGAGATCAACACCAAATGCAACATTTTATATAGCAGCTGTAGTAGAATATTCTCCAAAATATTCAACAAATAGCAGCGAGACTTTGAGAAGAAATTCTAATGAGTATATAGAATTCATTAGACAAGCTAAATCTTCTGTAAGTTTTCTTTAAAAGAAAATAATTCCGAACAATTTATAAATTATATCATCAAAAAATTAATATATTCTTCACAACGTGTTTTTATATTACAAAAATTATTTAAAACTTCTGCATATTTTTTTAGAATGTTGATATAATCGTTTTTCCTGAAAATGGTTTGACTACAATTGAATTGCCGGACAGAGAAAAACTGGAGAATTGGACAACTATTATTCCTAGTGCTTCAGCTAATTATACACCTTGCAGTCAAGATACTGTTCAAGTCAGCCAAGTATGTATATCTGTACAATTTTTCATATCGTACTATAAAATGTATTGAAATTATCTAAAAAGAAATTTTGAAAACACAGACATTGAAAAATATATCATGTGCTGCAAGGGAGAATAAAATCTATGTGGTAATCAATATAGCTGAGAAAGAACCTTGCTCTAACGAATCTTGCCTAAGCGACAAAATGCTTTATTACAGCACCAACGTTGTATTTGATCGCACAGGAAAAATTATTGCCAGGTTAGAATATATCTAGTTTTTATAATTACAATTACAAGATGTCTCGCAATTTTATAATATGCGTTATCTAATTATTATTAAATACATAGGTATCGTACAACACATCTTTATATGAATAAATCTATGTTTAATGTAACAACAGTACCAGAAATAGTTACTTTTGATACTGATTTTGGAGTGAAATTTGGAACTTTTACTTCTTTTGATATATATTTTCGTGAACCGTTACAATTAACAAGAGATTACCAAGTTACTGATTTTGTATATCCTACAGCATGGATTTCTGAAGTACCATTCTTAACAGGTAAACAAAATAAGGAAGAATCTTTTTTTCTTTCTCAAGGTTTCATCAAAACAAATGTGCATGTACTAATATTATTATAATTATTGCAGCTGTACAATTACAAGCAGGATGGTCATTTGCTGAAAACGTAACTCTTTTAGCTTCAGGCTATAACAAACCTAGTTTTGGCAATGCTGGCAGTGGAATTTACTTAGGTATGTAAAATTATATTTTATATTATATTTTAAATACTTCTCACAATTAGAATATTTCATTGCGCAAATATATATACAAAATAATATTTTTATGCAGGTTGTAAAGGAATTGGAAAGGCAATAATGCCTACAACTACGCATGAGGAAATGTTGGTGTTTAAAGTACCCAAAACAAATATGGGAAGTCAATACAATAAAAATCCTTTAAAGAGAAAGGATCAAAGAGTTTTACCATCTCACCATCAGAAGGAGCACGATGAATTATGGAAGAAACGGGAAAATAACACAATGACAGTCGATGATAAAATACTTCTATTACAGGATGATATTGATGCCTTTGAAACGTTTCCTTTGGAAAAAAATGTCACAAAAACTATCTGTCAGAATAACTTCTGTTGCGACTTTATAATAGAAATTGCGAAAATTGATCCAAATATAAAATACCGTTTAACGGTTTTTAACGGTATTCGTTCTATTCCGAATAATCCCGTTGACAAAATTGCCGTAAGTTCATGCAGTGTAATTCAGTGCTTAAACGACTCGGACTCATCATGTGGTTCCGTGCAAAAATCAGAAACAGTATTCAGTAATATTTATATCAAGACAAATTTCGATAATCTTAACACCAGTTTAATTATGCCATCTACGTTAACTTCAAATTTACTTCCGCTAAATATTGAAGATTGGAAGTTTAATGTAGTTATTGTAGTTGATACTTCGACTGAAGACGAGCAACTGCATGTTACTATGTCCTCAAATAACTCTATAAATGACTTAGTAACGTTTGGAATATATTCAAGGCTTTTTGAGTATACAAACAGTACAAACGATACAAACAGTACAAACGATACAAACAATACAAACAGTACAAACTCTACAAACTGTACAAACAGTACAAATAATACAAACAGTGCGAACAAGGCACTCTTTTATTCCATTAATTATTTGGTAATATTATTTACAACTTTGTTGTTATTAGGATTTTAATTTATGTACAAATATTTCTCTACTCACGATTCTGTGTGTGTGTGTTCCAAGATTTAAATTTAATCATTCTCAAAAAATTCAACTAATTATATAATTAAATAATAATTATATAATATACTATAAATATATATATTTTTTAGAGATATGCAAATAAAGCATTTGTGAGGTCGAATCGAATCGAATCAAATCTTTGATAATCGTTCGAAAACGAATTAAATTCAAATCAAATTTTCCTGGATTTATATTAAAATAAAGCAAATAAATTAAGCAAATTCAAAATCAAACCACCGCGCGCGATGATTCAATTCAAATTCGATCTATTTGCACCCCTCTATTTTTTCTCTTTTAGTATCTAATAATATTTTTAATACACTATATCATTGTAGACATAAAAATAGTTACAAAGTTATGTAAAAACATAAATTAATGCCCATTAATATATCTACATATATTAATCTCTCAACTAATTTTTCATCGTTTTCTAATAAACATTGTCATCAAACATCGGCTTGATTTTTATATTGTTAAGATATAATCACTCTGAGAATAAAAATCAAGAAGTGCTATATGCTCATTGTTTATTAAAATTATATTTTATATATATAAATATAATAAATCACGAATATAAATTCTATATATATTTACTTACTTAAATCCTCCACCGGCGATGTGAAATTTCCAATTATAGCCATCTGAGGCATTGAGGTTCAGTGACTGCAGTATTCAAACGTACTTACTGTATACACATAACACGAAACAAAATTCGAAATCGTAATATCACTCGACTATGTTACTCACCGACATATCCCGATATCCATAACAATCCATAACTAGGCCGCGCTCGGAAACGTTATTCGAATACCTCCATACGTTTTATCCTTGTTGCTCACCCAATTACTGGATTCACACTGCATCCGATTTTTGTCGTACGACGACTCTGCAACCAATCAGAAAACAAACATGTTACGTGAATGATGTTACGTGAATTTTTTGAATCAAAGCTACAGTTATAAATAATAATAAGGTTATAAATAATACAGTTATAAATAATAATAACAAATACAATTTGATAGCATCATTGTTGAACGCTAACAATTATTGCACGTGTATTACTACACAGTAGAAAACAAATAAACTTTTCAATTTTAGCGGTTATTTCCTAGTTTACAGGCGCATACTTATGAAAACGCATGCGCGTGTGGCTACAAAGTATGAAAATGTGACCGCAGGGCTGCGTTCAGAATCATCATCTGAGTGCACCCAGGTGTCGTGTTATCCTTATTTATCATTCGTGAACAACAAGGATAAAACAACATCTGGGTGCATCCGGACGACGATTCTGAACGCACCCCAGCGCATGCTCGCATCGCAGTGTTACGTGACCATGGCATATATCCTAACCTCAATAGACGTAAACTTTAACGCTTAATAACTCGATTCGCGGGGTAGAGCGCTTATTTCTGCCAGATTCTTTCGTTTTATGGAAAAACGCGTCGAATGAGTATAATTTAATCGATTCTTGAGACTGATTACCTTCCATTGCACCTTTACCAATAATCACAATGACGCCGCCGATGGAAAGGATTCAGATTTTGGAGACTATCGAGAAAGACATTGTAGTATGTTTACAAAGCGCAGGTAATTATTAAATTTCTATAATTTACTTATTAAACAGCTTTCTAGTAAGAAATACATATCAATACAAGTATCATTTTGCATTTGTCTCACTGAACGAAAAACAATACGTCTCCTGTTAAAGAATTTCTATAATGAGTGCTTTTCATTTGATGATAGGACACAAATGTTTTATCTTTTTTACTTACTGGAATATCAAAAAAGATAGAATAATGTTTAGATCAACTTGTGTCGCTGAATGGAAAGTTTAGTATAAATTTCTGGTATATTGAACTATATTGTACAAACATACAAAACAAAGCTGAATACATAAAGACGTAAATACCAGAAGCAAGGATATTTGATATACAAGATGTATGTACTTTTATGTTCAAGATATGCTTTTATGTTGTATAGGACAAGCTTGTATGGAATTGAGCAAGGAGAAATCCAGCTTGAAGCAAGCAGAGTCGCAGACACATCAATTCTTGAAAACTCTAGGACAATTGGAATCTAAATTAAGCGAACAGATTAATTATCTCACGCAAGTTTCTACTGGTATGTACATTTATTTAACGATATTATTATCATATCCTTTTTAATATATTTATATTTTTAATAAACGTTTCTCAAAGGTCAACCACATGAAGGTTCTGGATATGCAAGTCAAAAGGTACTGCAAATGGCATGGCACAGATTGGAGCACGCACGAAGTAGAGTTAACGAATTGGAACGTATAAAGAACAAGTTACGATAAGTACATAATATTCCTCTCTTCAAAATATATATTGTAAAAACGAGTGATATTACATTAATGTTGCTTGTGACAACCCATTTAACAAGTTACAATAAATTTACATACTTTTGTCAATTAGAACTTTTCTTACCATCCTGTTTACTTTATGGTAATTATAGCAAATAAAAAATTTTTAACCACTTTTGCTATAAACTGCATATAGACTATTTTTAAATCAATGACTGCGCTCAGCAAAAAATCTAGCTTGATAAACATTATGTGCTGATTAAATTATTTTTTTAGATTTTAGAGAAAAAAATAGTTGTGTCTTAATTATTTAAAAGTATTATGCAAACAGTGCAAAATACTTAAGTTGCTTTTTTGCTGAACCCAGCAAATACAAATCTTATAATACATTACAATTTTTTTAAAATATTTTTTTATTGCGAGTGTACAATACACTAAAAAAATACATAAATAATTTCTTTTACACGCCTTTATCTTATATTTATCACATATATAATATATATAGATATCATAAAAATATAGTAAACTTTATGAAAACATTCCAACCAACACGCGACATATATTCATTTTATGATTAAAACTTGCACGTATGAAATGAGCATCGTAAAAAATTTATTTTTTAATACTTCTTTCTTGTGATTTTCTTTGTTATTGAGATGTTATTGAGATCCTTATCCATCTATAACTCCCATGCTACGTTTTACCGTAGCAGCTAATGAGAGTCGCGATCTTCTCTCCTCGTCCAATTGTTTTGTTAGGAGCGACATTTGTGATTGTAAATCAGTCATTTGATTCTTCAAAGTTTTAACTGTTTCTGATAATGTCCTGTGTGTAAAAAGTACATTAGTAAATACTAATATATCAATAATTAAAAATGCTTAATGAGTCAGTCACGGTTGATATTTGTGTATAATTTATTCAATATTAATAATAATAACAAACTAATATGTCTACAAACACTAATAATATATAATAATATCATATTATCAATTTCTGATACATTTTATGTGTTATGTACATATCATGTAATCTTTAAGCTTATACAGCATAATAATTAAAAAAAAATTTTTAAAAAAACTCCAGTTCTTTATTTTTTAATTAATTTGATCAGTAATATAATGATGAAGTATTTCACAAATTGATGCAATTTTTTATTTTTATAAAAATTATTAAATTTAAAAACAAGAGAGAAATGTTTTTTTTTCAAAATATTTTTACAATATTTTATACTCACCTGTCATTACAAGATTCCCAATTGCCTCTGTTATGCATCAATGATATCCTATCCCGTGATTTTTGTGATTCATAATCTAGCACTGCTGAAAAATAAGCATAATAATTTCTTCATGGTGTAAAAGATACTTTGAAAAGTTTCAACAGTTCTCAATTGACTTGTAAAAACTTACAATTAGACTCTCCAGAATGTACAGTAAATCTAGCATTGACAGAAAGACAATAACCTTCTATTACTTTTAATATGATTGCATCTTCTTCAAATTGTCGCTCATCTGTAATATAAAAGATACGATAGAAAATTAATTAAAAACTTTTCACATTAATTAAATGCTTGATATTTAGTACTAAAGCTATCTTACTGCATGATCGTGGTGAGCGTGATGTATCTGTAGTAGTATCTAATTTTCCAAAATTCTTAAGAGAATACAGGGGAGGAGCAGGTCTTAGTGATGCGATACTCCAAGGTGTCTTAATCCCTGGAGATGTACAATGCTCCATCGCCGGTCGTTGGTGCTTTCCGTTCGGTTGATTGTTCGTCTGCTATAATATGTATGCACCATTTGTAATATTTCAACAATATCAATACATAATAAGATTCTATTATATACATGCACTAAAAAATTCTCTGCTTGAACGTTATTTATGTTACAATTTATACATTTTTTTTCTATTGTTCTGCAGAGCCTATTTTTAATATAAAAACATTTTTTATATAAAGATACAAGCTAGAAAGGAGAAATACTATAATTATTGAAGTGCACGACCTATCTGAAGACTAAGGCTATGTATTCAAGCTAACTACGTAGAATCTTTTGCAAAATGAATGATGACGACGTGATCAAAAATAAAGACATACGCAAAAATTGGTGATATTTCTCAAGAAACTATTCTATAATGTATTGTGTTAGTAAAGCGACAGCTTACTTCACACAACATGGCTGTGAAATAAGAGCATACGACTTTTGGTAGAAAATGATAATTAGTAAAAACACCAGCATGGTTAAAGAAACTGAAATGATCAAAGAAACAGCCATGCCATGGAAGCTTGCCTTGTTCTGTGCATCCAACTATCGGGATAGATTTCTTGAGCCACCAATGAGCGTATAATCCAGATGAATACACTTGATTTGTTGGCTCGTCATATTCCTCTATAATTGGCTGTATTGGATGAACTACGCGTCTCCCGACTTTTTTAATTAAACACTGATGCACATATGGTATCGGTTGCGTATATCTTTTCCCTGGTACATTTCCATAATTTATCAAAGGATGAATTAATACAGTCTCTTGAATTTTCTTCTCATTATTATTATCATTAGCATCGTTACCGACATCATTAGATCTTACGAGACTTGTACATTCATCAATATTTTTAGACGAAGTCACCGAATGAGTACTATCTCGAGGCGTAGAACCAAATGGCGAAGTGCAAATACATTGATGTTCAAACTTATTCTCATCGTTATCGCTTTCACTATGAGATGTTCTTATAGGATCTGTATATTTAATATGACTAGACGTATAAGACTTGTAACAGGAATTGATTTCAGATGAACGTAAGTGACAACTCTCCGCCATTCCCGAATCTGAAGACTGTAAACTAATATTTGTACACGTTTCTTCAAATTCTTTCCCGATGCTATCGCAGTTATCGTTCTTGGAGTATCGAACTGGGACGTCAAAATTTTTTGGATAAAACTCTTCGATAGTTCTCAAATATTTATAATCTACAGTCTGATCTCTATCATGTGAAATTTCCAAATGCTCCCGACAAAATCTGTTACGTGTTTGAAGGTTTGACGTATAGGACTTGCTTGACGCGAGCGGAACATTTGGCAGGACGTGACTCATTATAACACCAGCAGGTAAACTCTTACTAGTCTCGAAGGTACATCGATTGTTGCAATTAACTTTCGGTGCGAAATTCGTGAGTGAAGAAGTACTCGCTATTCCAACAGTACTAAGATCAGTATTATCTGTTACATATCTAACGTCCAATATTAACGAAGATTTACGCAATATTCGTGACTCCTCCTTCACATTACTTTCATTGGATGTATCTGACTCGGATCCTTCTCTAGTGTCAGTAGGAAAAATAGTATAGGTCACATTGCACTTTCTCATTTTCACGTTAGTTAAATCTGGTCTCAGAATATATTGAAAATATAATAATTTCTTCATCAATTCAGGATATATGACTTTTCTCCTTACGAGCTTCGCAAAATATCTCGAGAGTCGAGCATACGGAGGATGATGACAACTCACACGAGGCGTGGTTGGTGATTTCAAAAGGCTAGTGCACTGTTCCTGAATTAAGAGATCGATCCAACGCTGTCTCTCCTCCTTTGTAGCGCACAGTACGACAATGCTTTCAATCATTGGTCCTTAAACATACATAATTTCATTATTATATAATTATTTTAAAAAGAAAATGTTACATTTTGTGAACTTAGAAACAAAGAATGTCTGTTTATATATTTCCTTATTTCGACGTGAACAAAATAACATTTCTTATTTATTTTGTGAAATAGAATCTATCTCTCATGATATATTTGAATAAAACATTGATAGCTATACCAGTAATCTCCAGAGCATTTCTTATTTCGTCTGTATCTTCAATTCCAGTTACATTAATACCAGTTAATGGAAGTTTTCCCTACAAATAATCGCAACATGAATTAAAATCTTTATGTATTTTGTTTTTAAAGTAATATGACAGAGATGTTCCAAATCTACCTCGTAAATAAAGGAACTCATCCTAGGACTGGTGCTAAGTACCAGCAGTGTAGTAGGAAATAAAACAAAGTATCTATCTCTACGATCTACGCCGGTTGCTAGAGAAACAGATCCGACGTGAATAATTTCGCCTAATGAATTTAATTCTTCACCTTCCCAACCTTTAACTCCACTAGTTAATATTTGGAGTGCTAATTCACGCTGCTTACGTATGGAAGCACAATGATCCTAGAAGTAAAATTAATCAAGTCAATTTAAATTAAACATTAATAACATTTTTTGTTCTCATAATATAGATGTAAATATTATCATACCGCGATTTCCCTATAAACTGTTATACTACGTTGAGTATCTCCTCTGTCGGGATGATTTTTTTCAGTGTATCTTTCTAATTCTTGAAGCATGGCAGAGTACTTATCTAGTCTTCGAAACGGCTTGCTAAGACCAGTAGTTAATACTAATATACCAGGTGATATCGCTCCACTGCGTTCCATAAATTCATTTAATTCATCTCTAAAATAATAATATATGATTAATATATTTGCAATCGATTATTATCTTTTGGAAATTACAATCTTGTTTCAATAATCCGCATTATTTTTCAGTGAGATTCCATATTGAATCACTGTGCTAAAATAGTCATTTGTCAAACAAACTAAAATTCAAATCTGGTTCCTAAAATATTGTCATCCTACATGTACATATAATATTATAAATTTTTAAAATAACGATAATAAAATAAAATATAAACTTAATCGCAAAATAACCAGGAACAAATCACATTATTGCATCATCTCTTGAAGAGCAAAAACTTACAAATTTTATAACGATCAAGTCTTGATTTGTGATATCACGTTCGAAAAAAAGAAAAAATATATTTTTTTAAAGTGCCTACCTGTATCTATCTAAAATGCAAACAGCTTGTGGATGATTGTTACAATATGTAGTGTGAATAGACTTTAACCTTGGCGCAATAGTTAGAAAAAGATTTCCTACTCTCGCAGAAAATCCTTGCAAAACAGTTCCTTCCAAATTTGCTAACAAACATTGATGAGTCTCCAATACCTCGTGTATGTTACCAAGTAACTGCTTATACTCATCTTTCTTCAGTCTACATATAATTCCATATTTTTATCATACAAGATACATAACACATTTTTTTCTCTCATCTTATTAAACAACATGACTTACATATTCGATGTTTCAAGAGGTTGTAGAAAATTATTCACTAGTCCTTGCAGTTCAGCTACATTCACTCTTTCAGAATCGACAATGTCCTTTAATACTATATCACGATTAAGTTTTTGATGCGCAGGTGACTCTTGTGGACTCCTTTCTGGAGACGTCTTAATCGACACATGATTACCATCTGTATGTATTACAATATATACAATAAATAAAATACATACAATTATTTTCAACCTTAGAATATCTTAAAATATACAGAATGTTAACAAAAAAAAAAACAGATTATAAATGGATACAAATTGTGTACTACTTAAAAGAGTATCATACCTGGAGCTCTATACTCCTTCACATAATTCGAAGGGAACCAACCAGTCTTATCATGTAACGTACCCTCCCACCAGCTTTCATCGTCCGCCTGAGTTATTGTTATTACATCTCCTTTCTTGAAACACAACTAGAAAATAAAGCAAGAACACTGCGTATAGACGTAAACAGAAACATTTTTAGCAACTGTGTGATAACTTGCTCCACATATAGGAGCAATATTTAGAACAACGAGAGAAGGGAAAAGGAGAAGAATTCCACGTACTTCATCGTTATTCTTCCCTTTGAAGGAGAAAAGCGCCGTGACGTATTTTGGAGCATCGGGCTTCGACATAACTCTCGTGTTCGTTAACCATGAGACGTAGAATATCGGGGGATTAACTCCGTGGTGGCACCTTCACACATTGTTCCTTCACGATCAACACCCAGCCTTCAAAACCTACACCCAAGTCCCTCACGAGAGTCACGATGCGAATAGATGTGATTGACGAGCCGTAGCTCCTATTTTTAAGGACGTCCACTGCGTCAGAAGTTCGAAAAACCGACAAACCTGCGGACAGACCCTCGTCACATGTTCCAGCGACACACTCTATAGCGCCTGTCACACTCGCGTAAAAACTCGCGTCGCGCACCCGTCATGCACAAATGTGGTAGTATCCGATCATACGGGTACTGTACAGCGACACACACACGTGCGCAGAGCTCACGCGCACACGCGCGGATGCCAAAACTTGATAGACTCCTGTCTATAAATAAACGCAACCACTGTGTCACGTGACTATAATTACGAACACATCCGCGGGGTGATACATCGCCGCGGCCCTGAGGATATTTTTTCACCGCATTCAGCTCACTGCTTCGAGATGATGCGAATGTATTATAATAGTATATACTTAAACGAGCGCAAACGAAGGAATTTTCAGGTAAACGCTGCGCCTACGGCACGCTGGTCAAGATTTAAATAATTCCGTGTGTATAATTTATTTTATGATACGTCGATTTAAATTTCCCGCCGTTTCCTAGTTAAATTCACTGATTATTTGATTACTCGTGTAATAATTACATACACGTAATATGATATTAGGACTGTCTAATTGAGATGCTAATATAGCTTTGTGATTGATTTACGAACATCTTAAGACAATCTCAAATATAAGAATCGACTATGAATACTGATTTATGACACTCCGTATTTAATACAATTCTTCCGAGAGAATTCTTTGGGGTAAACTATTAAGAAATATCTTATATATATATAAATTAATTTCACGTACGTGTCATACAGCGAATTTGCGTGCAGCGGAAAGCAAGGACACTATTCTATTCTAAATATGAAACCATATGAAACTGATTGTGAGATGGCACGTGGAACTGTACTGCACCGAGTTTTCCTCTCTCCTCTAACAGTATGAACTATATATATAATCGACCAATTGCTGAATGAAAAGCTGTTGCGAGACTTGTAGTGGGGACAGCTTTACTTCAGGTGTAATTAATTTTATACTTGAACCGAGCAACATTTTTACCTGCATTATACTCTCTAAAACTTTTAATGGCTTTAACTTTCACTCCTTAGAGTGAGATTCTATTCCAAAGAATTTAAAGAGTAAACTTTGTTTTATTCTTCTTTCTTTAGTAGTGACACCTGGTTCCCTTAATGAGTCTGCTTTTATTTTTATTTTTATAATAGCCGATAATAATCAAATATATAAGATAGATGAGTAAGGGTATAGATACAATTTATAATCCTTTAAATCGAGAATTACAGTTGTCACTTCTCCAGTTTTCAGCTAAAAACTTTGGCTTTTTTAATGAATCTCCGGCAGACAAAAACATTCCAAAAGGCGACCGGATTTGATGGCTTTTTTTCTTAGAGAAAGCATTATAAGAAAGCAACAATTTCTATAATGATAATCTATGCAGCATTTTATCCAAAATAATGTCCTCTTATAGGAACATATCTTTAGGATATACTTCAAGCTACATTTGATCATATAACGTTTTCTCTGAAGCAGAAACGTGAAAAATAAAAATGTTTATGCATGTAAACACAAACATAATACACATATATGCAAAAAATATGTTCACAGGAAAAGGTCGTAGATTGATCCTTCGAAGTCTTTAGAAACGTTCCTTATGGGGCTGTGCTGTATGGGTCCAAAATAGCGTGAATAATAGGCTTTCTGACAGAAGATATAGATCTCCAACGAGAAAATTACCAAAAAGTGGTAATCTTCTCGAGAATGTAAAGGTTTTTTCATATATGAATAGAATGTGTAACCGTCACAAACCGTCGCTTTTTGTTAATATGAAAAAATTCGCATATAAAGAATTATTACAATTATTTAACTCTTTTTTAAAACCGTCGTAATACATTACATAAATATATTATGCATTAATGTTGCTAATATTGCTATATTTTAATATGTACGTTAAAAATTTATCGTGTAGCCTTTTCCGCATGTTCTTTCACCAATAAGTAAAATAAATAAATATATAATAGTTTATAGTTAATATTAATTTAACAATATGTATAATTTTGTACAATGCTAAATACGTATAATTTAAACTAATGACAGATTCTTTTTAGTTGTAGATTATGCGTCTCAGCTACTACGACACAACAGAAATTCATTTAACATCCGGAACAATGCTATTAAGGTTGGAACGCAAACCGGATGCGAAAGTTGATTACTTTTGAGATTCAATCAAGCTTGAAAACAATGTAAATCCCTCTTTTTATATTGTTTTTTTTAAGCGATTAAATAACAATATGATTTTTTGAGATTAACTAAAATTATAAAATATTAAAAATATGCCTTGAATTATCTTTAATAAATTTATTAATTTTTAATTTTAACATTTTTACACTTTTCTCTTAAATGGATACATTTTTGTAACATTAAATATATAATTTTCATAATTATTATATTATTTCATAATTATTATTTTCATAATTATACACGCACAGATCAAAATTTTGTGTTAAAATGTAATTTACAGATTTTAAATGTTACCTAACAATGTGAAGAATCTATCTTTTATTAGAAAAACAAGAATTGTTTAAAAAATCTACATATGATCTATATTTTGAATATAATATTTTAGAAACATGTATTATTATTTTTTATGTAGAGGAAAAACTTTACAGCTTATCGCTATATATATTGTATATAAATATCTATATATTTCCGAATGAAAAACTTTTAGGATCAGAATAAAAACCAGTTTTTACCAGGGTTTTCATTAAAAGTTTTTAGTTTTTACGATAATTGTTATCTCTATTAAAGCCGAGACTTCAGAATCAGACACGAGAGTAATATATAGCAAGGGAGAGAGAGATGGATAAAATGAAGAGAGGAAAGGCGTGAACTGAGATAAAGCTATTGACCCTTGCTCTCTCACAATGACCTGTCAGAGATATCGTTCCACTAAATTCACTGACGTGCCTCCTCAGTCAGTCGAACGCGTGCACACACGCCTTCAGAGTCGGTTAGGAGTTACATCGCTCGTTCTCGTCCACTGATAAGCATTTTACACCCTTGGCACATGCAAAGACAAACCATCAGTTGCAGTTGAAGAACGAAGCTTGTCATAAACTGACCGTAAACTTAATTGTGGAATTAATTAATACATTAATTTGTTAACAAAATTGCGCGAAAAGTGAATGGTGGTGAGGGGTTTCCAAGGGAGGAGTTACGACGGGAAACGATCAAAGGACATTCCGACAAATTTATGATACGATTATGCGTTAATACTTTTTATGGTAGCTTCTTTGTAGCAACATCGGTAGGGCCAGGTGTTAAATGAAATATTAGTGTGTTCCTAAGAGGAAGTGTTAAGGAATGAACTTGAAGTGCAAGATGCGATTGGAAATGCGAGTCTACGCGGTGGTCTTCTTCATAGTATGCTGCTTCCTGTGTTCCCCATGTGCAAGCAAAGAGCCAAAAGCCTCGTCAACTTCGATAGGTACAACATTACGTTGATAAATGTGATTTTGTCAAAACCTAGTAACGTCTGTGTATTTTTTAAATCGCTTAAATACAGCTCAATTGTATCGAACTGTTACCTTCTGCAGCTCAATATATTTCTTATAATTAAATTAGAACAATTGAAGGGCTAAGAGCCAGTTATCTTCTAATTTGTTTTATTCTTACAGTGCCTATTATTATTTATTATTTTTTCTTATAATTATTTAAATATATAAATTATTTAAATATATAATGTAATTGAATTATACACAGACAGAAGAAAGTATAATTTTCCTAAACATTTTCTATTGAACTCTTAATAAATGATGAATTACTTCTTCAATAATTTCAATTTAATTCAATAAAATTATATATTGTATAGACACAGAAAATCAATATTTTTAATCATTTTTTTCACTCATTTTAGATTTTTTAAATTGTTTAAACATTACTCAATATACGAACTGAAAATTATGTAGGTAGAAGCTATAATTTAAAAATTTATTGAAAAAAATAAACCTTAAAAAATTAATTTTTACTATACAAGATTTGAAAAAACAATTGACGTTCTCCACACTGTTCGTTTCATAATAACTAACGATACAATATTTACTATGTTATTTTTCACGTTCACAATTTACTCTTCTTACGCAATGTGTACAGTTCAAGGGGCAGTCATAACATAGATCGTAAAATTATCTCGTTTGTAAGTCCCAATAATTAATTCTCGCGCTAAATTTCAATAATTAATGGAACGACATCTTACATCTAAATGAAAATTTTTGGACGTCAATTTCGTAACTAAAAAAACGTGTCTTTTGTGAAATTCGCTTTATAATATTATTTATTTATCACTTAATATATCTATTTAACTTATTAATTAAGCAAGGTATAACTTATTATTCTAGACAAAAAGACGGCAGCTCAGATAGCCGCGGGCGAGCAGCGTCTTGGGGATCAAATTCGCGCTATCCTTAAACATTATCAGCAAGACGATCCGGTCGGGTTGCCGGGCGCGCCGATACCGGATCCGATGCCAGTGCCGGATCTGAAGCATTCCTTCTCCGTGTATACGATGAATTTTAAACAGATTAGCGTTTACGGACTGTCCAAATTCCGTATCGAACATATAGAGTCGGAACTGGCACGTATGCAGGTAAATTAAAACAACACGTTAACGAGAAGAAAAAACAAGAAAATGTTCGAAGCTCAAATTGATGCAATAATACTTCCTTTTTTCGCTCTTGATTAGATTCTAAAATGCACGTATACAGCAGTAGTAGATAGTTCGCTGTGTTGCTATTGTTAATAGTTATTATGGTATTAGGAATAGTTGTTGATTCAATATTATGAAGTATCAACATAATTGTATAAATAATTTAAAAATAACAAATGTTGATTAATCTAACAACGATTTATAATTATAAATTGGATTCAATGTGAGTCATTACTTATATTGATAATGAAGATTACAATATCGTAGATCAAGCGATTTCTTTATAAAAATAGAAATGTATATAGAACAATGAAAAAAAAACTTCCTTGTTAAATTTTAATTAATAGAAATAACATTTTATTTAAAAATTTTAACTAACATTTTCTATGGGTAAAATGCTTTTATTAAATGAGAAGTCAAATGTTTGTACTTTAATATGAGAATACGTTTGTGTTATGTAGAAAATAAGATGCGCATCATATTTTAAGCAAACGTAGTAGAAAGATGATAACTAATATGATACTGCAATTGTATAGTAATGGAAATAAGAAGTAAAATATGCTCTTTTGTAATAAAATTTTTTCTATTAATCTGGAAAAATTTTTAGATTTTTAATTTACAAGGAATATGTCTTAAAATATAATTTACATATTCTGTACATAAAATATTTTATATATATATCATAATATTTTACATATTTTATTTTTTACATCTTTCTTTTGAAATGATCAAATTTTTGTTTTTTTTTATTTACAATATTCTTATATCACACATATTTATATCCTATATTATTTAATTTATCTTATATGTATGCGCTTGTGATGTTTATTTTCCCAGCTTTATTGTTTTTACTAGAAATGTGAAATAAAAATTATTATCTCTTCGAGGTGTCGGTCGCAGTAAAGATTGACATTCTTGATATTCGTGGATTATACACATTGGCATCCTGGATTTCGAGGTCCGAAGGGGAATTCATGGTAAAACTTACCGGTGTGAAAGTCGAAGGTATCGCTAGACTAGAAGTGAGCACCGATGGCAAATTGCAAGCTCAGGACATTGACATGGATTTGACTTTCGATAAAATTGACCTGGATTTTAAGAATCTAGGATTCCTCGGTTCAGTTTTTCAAGGAGTCATCAATTCCGTCGGAACCTTCATTTTTGACGGCATCAAACCATTCATCCTAAAAGAAGTTAATACAAACATGAGGTATACAAGTTTTTCTTAAAGAAATATTTTCTTTTAATCGAAAACTTTAAAGAGATAAATAAAAATAAAAGAAGAATAGAGAGAAAGAAAAATAACAAGGAAAATATTGTATATACGAATAATAAAAATAATAGATTTTTTAAAACTATCTCGAACTAATACCGGTTTTAATTTAAATTTTTTTAATGACATTGTTTTCTTATATACATATATCTATGCAGCTATGTATGGTAATTTAAATTACATATTTTTTTATAAAGTTCTATATGTGTTTTAACAATAATATATAAATTTCCTCTCTTATTCTTTATAAAAAAAAAAAAGAGAGAATTTATAATTTTTCGGCTTGTTTATATCTCTTTTCTCAACTATGTGATATATTTCAGGGGCGAAGTGAACAAACAAATATCACAATTACCGCAATACTTTCCGAATTCGATTTCACCCTTCGATATGGCGATCGCAGAAGCTCGGAAGCAAGTTTCTCAGATGGGCTACGATCCATATCAGCTGAAGGATTATGTCCAGAACATTGGTATATTCACCGTGACTTCGTCGCATACCTGGATCATTGGTCTAGCCAGTTTCTATCGCATGGGAAATATAACCATCACCATGGAGAACGGAACTGTAACTGCAATTTTTAAGAGATCTAATTAATAACTAGCATATCTTTTAACATATCCTCGTTAGTTCCAAGTGGGTCTAAAAATATTGCGGTAATAAGCATATACGAAGATTATCTATTTCGAAAAAGACTTTTATAACATTTGGACACACGAATGAGTTATAATTTAATTTAAAATAGACGAACGTCTACGATGAAATTGCTAAACGCGAAGCAACTGCATCGACCATAATTGCGACCGTCGCGTCGTTGCGTAAACATTACATAAGGTACCACGTTTGTAAATCGTTACAGTATGCGGTTTTTGGATTTTGCACGTGCGTAGGAGACGTTTATCGCGGATTTAATTTGTACTTGTATACATTACGGCACCTTGTATAGGTATACGCGCTTCTGGATGTCGGCACCCAGGAACTTGAGGGCAAGACGCACTGGGAGGTGAGCGTGATCGGCGGTTTCCTGTCGCGTGCTGGCACCATGTCCTTCACCGTCCAATACTTTCGGGTGCAAGTGAAGCTGGCTCAGCCGTTGGACACGCGGAAACGCGCCGCTTTAGAAGAACTGGAGCTCGAGTTGGGCAACATCCAAGCGAGATTCCACGGCGCCAGAACGCTCGATTATCTCGTAGAAGCGAGCGTTAATATACTACCGAACCTTTTAAGGTAAACCGTACGTAATAGCCGCGGCCTTGCAAAATATGCGTCTCGCGTCGATTTCAAGGCAACGTCCGTAATCGGCGATTTTCCGACACGGATCTAATCACAATGAACATTAGGAAATCCGTTTGAACGCAATCAACGAAACCGTAGTATCCTTGATAATCTCGGAAAATCGTTATAACGAACGTTTCACTTAAATTTTATACGTCTCGAAATGTTTGATTTGTTATTAAATAGTCTTACTCTCTTGCCTTTTTTTAGCTTCCTCAAAATTATTTTAAGATCTTATGTTATAATTGGAATGATCTGAATCACAAGAACTAATGTTCGTTTCTGTTAGTGTAAATATTAACTTCAATTAGGTTCGACTTACTCTTAATTATCTTTTTCTAATTTTTAAAATTAGAAAGAGATGAAAAACAAGTTGAATCGGGATTGAAGTTAATCTATACATTAGTTAAATTGGGCTAAGGACCAATTTCACCATCTTCTGATTAACTTGATCAGTCGATTATTCCATTAAAACTGATCATAATCGCACTTGTCGTTAAGAAAAATTAACCAATCACGATTGACACTTAATCGATCGATTAAGCTAATCGGAGATGGTAAAATTGACCCTATGGATATACTTTTGGATTTCTTTATTGAAGATTTTATTAAAGACATTTAAATATCAGATATATTTGACTGTACGGAAAATACGACGACATATTTTTTCTTTTTTACTTTTTTAAATATTCTTTATTTAAGAGCTTTTCTCTCTAACTGTGCTTTTTTAATTCATACTCCTTCGTAGATATCAAATCATGGACGCGATCGAAGGACCGTTGAAAAGACGTATACAAGAGGAGTTGGACAAGGTAGACATGGAAAAATTAATCGATGAGAAAATTCCGGTGATCGAAGAACAGGCTAGATGGATGCAGGGTTTAGTACCTGCAGAGGAAACAATCTTGGAAGAATCGACGCTGCCACCACACAGTCAAGACGATCAAACGCCGTTCTCTGAAAGCGAGGAAGAACGAGGACCGTCGTAAAAAAGGCACTTGTGTGAACCACCTCCATTCTAGAAGAAATCAATAGTTCCAAACAAACTTCTTTATAACGTAAACACGTATTGTACATCACGCGTGATATATGCATGTATTTTTAATGTATAATACGTGTACATACATATATGCAGTCTGATTTTTTAAAATATCCTGTATCGCGCGACGAAATTCTACTGATAATTTATAAATGGAATTCTTTCGTGAATGTCGAATCGTCTAAAAGCAGTCTCGGAACATGAAAGAAGTGAAAAATGTATGCACGATTTTGTGACACATTTGCCTCCGATACGTAATTTATTCTCGATGGATAATTCATTAACGATTTGGCTAAAGTTGATAAAATATTTATCGCGACTTATCTTTTTTGATGCGCATAGATTTTTGTACGCTATGAGTGGTATCATTAATATTTAAATATTTAACAGCAAAAATGTACTTTTAAGAAAAATATTGAAATTAAATTTATATTAAAAAAGGAACGTCACTAGTATTATTAGAAACACATGATAATTATAACTAAAGTAAATTTATAAAAACTACATATAAATTTAATGTTTAATGTGGCAATTATTCGATAATAATAATAGCAAAGTACAAGATTAAATTGATATTAAATGTTTATTGAAGAAAATAACATTAACAAAATGTATTATATTTTTAGTTTAATACAAAAGCGGATAAAATTACAAATTACTAACATAAGTATGCGAAAAGTATCGCAAAAATAAAATCATTTTAAATTGTTTGAACATGAAATATATATTTATTATTATTATACATGCGTTTAGTTGGACTTGAACACAATTGCAACTGCCTAACTCGATAATACGAATATAAAGTGCATTACATAATATCTCGTCTATAATTCTAGCTTCTTGACTGTGACGAGTAATTAAGACTGAGTGATTTACCTATATCATTCATACATATTTTATGCAACTCACATTCCTTGCCAAAAAGAAATGTTACGTAAACAATACCTATAAGTACAAACTCTAAATCGAATTGTCAAGCTAACGATAACACGAATAAATTAAGTGAATGATTACGTAAGAGCGACAAGCTGTACAGAACATACGCAATAGCAGTTGTTACATTTTAATAGAGCTAGTCACGGCGGCATGAACCGTTCGAAACCAATCGCCGAGACGAACCCGAATGATGTAATGTCTAAAACAGCGTCGTAAAGCTTCGTAACATGCTGTTGTCCGCATTCGTGTTTTTTTAAAGCTATGAGAAAATAATTAATACAATACAACTGTACATGCATGTTTTTATCTAATTTTTTAATTATGGCTCATTACGCGCTACATGTTAGAGTCATCCAAATTTACGAAGAACGAGTCACGATCGTGATTATCGAATCGATCTATTAATTTCCGCTCTTGAGAAAACTTATATGCAATCGAATGTGAATATCTATTTTAAACATAACAGAATGCAAATCTAATTCTGTAGTCTTTTTTTATCAATCTTACTGTGGCAAAAATAACGATCGTGACTCGTCCTGATATACAGACAGCAATGCTAATGCATTTGTATATAATATATATGTACATACAAGGTGTCCCGAAATTTGCAAAATACCACTGAAAGAATTTTCAAAAACTTATACAAATATTTTTTTCGATATCTGTCTTGCTGTAATAATTTGATTCGTAAATTTCGAGACAATCTGTTCATATATACCTACATACAATAAAAGTATCAGCAAGTGTTTAAAATATTGATATCTCGTATTGATCGATTGTGCACGTATAATAGACATTTGCGAGGAAGCCGAATAACGCGAACCGGTCTGAAACTCGTTGCAGAGGTATTTGAAAATTCAAACATTCAAGACGCCGATTAACTTCCTTCTCACCAATGTTTGACTGTTCGTTTCTTGGCAGGTCACGATACTAAATGTTATTGCAGACAGCGGTATAGTAACTTTAAGGATCATGGCTCTAAAAAAAATTATTCAGACATTTCGTTTTGGCGATGAATCTGTCAATTATTGGATTTTCGCGTTATCCGGAAACATCTCAGCACATTACGTAGCTTTTATAGCCGGCAAATAGGTTCGTCGAATTGGCACGAATCGCTCGCCCGGCGGTGGCGTAATATATGCCAATTTGGGTGCCGTAATAGTCAGAATACCATCGGAAGACAAGCTGGGCTTCACGTGGACGATGTCGTAAGCGAGCGGCAGCAAATAACGACGTATAAACTGTCGCGACACATAGCCGTGTTTATCCTTCCTCTCATGATGCTTGGCCTCAACGGTGATGTACCTGTCGTCGGTGCGAACGGTGACGTCCTCCGGCCTGAATTGCTGTACGTCCACTATTATCCGATACTTGTCCGCGTCGCGCTCGACTGTTGCCCATCCGCCTATCTCACGTTCCCAATTTTCAAATACGTCGCGCCACGGCCGAAACCTGTCGAGGAGCGACGGCATTCGCCACAGATCGTCGTCGCGCAGACTCAGCCTCCGAAAGTGCTCCTCCATCTCACGGTGGAAGCGATCTATATCGTCCCACCAGCTGCGGCATAAGCTTCTCGATACCAGTGCCATGATTTCCTGCAGGCAAATAGGAATTAACACATTATTATTTACCTGATTTACTCGTGTCGCACATGTAATGAATTATCATTTTTATTTTATTATAGAATTTGAAGAGCTCTTGTATGAAAGAGATAAAAGAAACATAATTGGTGAATATAAATAAAATCTAAATATATAAATGTATTAGAAAATAAATATTTATAGATATAAATAGTACTGGTAAGAGAGCGGGATATTTAGAAAGTAAAATAATTGAATACTAATAAAATCTATATATTAATAGATATAGTAAATATTGATTTAATAATAATAAGAATATTAATAACCGTATTATATTTGATAAATTGTTATAACATAACTGATAAATGTTTAAGTTGAAATTGTTAATAGAGAATGAATAAACATCTAAAATTTACTTAAAGTACTTACATAAATAAGTACTTTAGTTAAAGTAATCTCTCATTTAAAAAAATTTTGATGAGCTCAAAGTCTAGAAAACAATGTTAAACGATACAACTTATGTGCTCAGAAGTCTTAACAAACATATAAATTCTCATTTAATTGTTTAATAATTTTTTTATATTATAAAAAGGCTTTGCTATTATTACATTTGTCACAATTTTAAATGCAAAAAATGCATAATAATTCAATTATAATCTGTATAATTGTTGAATAATTATTGACTCTATCACTGCGTGATGCATGTGAATTCGTAGGAGACAAGTCATAATACACACCTTGTCGACTTAGAAAAATCTCTCGTTTCGTTCGTTAACGACACTTGATGTCGGATGTTCGATTTGCGAAATTACTTGTCGAACTGCGCAATAAGAGGTCTTCGCTGTGAGGCTATCACTTCCTCCGAGCATGAATTCCTCTTTGCGACTAACTGCGCAACTATTGCCAGTGCGCCGATTTATATTCAGTTTGCCGCTCTTTTCGAGACCGTTCGATCGTGTGGCGCACGCACATGCGCATAATCACAAACAAACATCTCGCGCGATCCTTGTTGTTTCTAATATAGCATCGCTCAATTGATCTGTATATCTTTTCGAAAAATCTAGAAGACTTTTGCAATATCAAAAATGTGTGTTTTTACAAAATTAAAATATAATTTATTTTTATAAAAATAAGACATACATATAACAAACAAATGTGAAGTTCGATAAGAATTTTGATTAACATGGACATTTTCAGCAAACAAAACAGTTCAGTGAGCGCTTAATAATTATTCAATTATAATTATATAATTGAATATTGTCTCTTTGTCTTTTTTGCTAGATTTAAATGTAGGAGGAGAATCAATTATAGGATTTAAAAAAATCACTGAACACTCATCTGTGTGTTAAACATATAGGTACATATTATAGTCTATTGTAGCCGATTGAGTACTAAGAATTACGAAATAAAATGTTATTGTTGTATAATAAAATAGTAATACATGTATATAATAATATTAATATAATATATATAATATAATCAAATACTATAATATGTATTTCCTATATTTTAATATATGTGTATGTTACTTCTTTTTAACATTGTTTGTATAAAGGGCTATATATAATACATTTTGACATAAATTAAAAAATTTTTGATAAATAGGATATTATTAAAAATATGAACAAATATATTTTTATAACTATTAAATAATTTAAGAATAAATGATTAAATACATATATCGTAACATTTTAAAAAATGAATAAATATCTAAATTATAAATATTTTTATTATATTTTTATCATTAGAATGAAAGAATCAAATGGTTAATTTTTAATTATTTTTATTTTAATAATTTTTTCCACATTTTAAGATATGTATTCCACAATCAGAAATATACTAAATATTTAATAAAATTAAACCTTGTTATCAAAAGGTCAGCCCTATTTGATTAGAGAAAGGAATAAGAAAATAAAGAACATATCAATTCCAAAAATAAAATCTTTATTAAAAGTTTATTTCAATTTATTTATTTCGTAGTATCACCGTTTTTTTGATAAAAATGGAATAAAACTAGATAAAATGTAATTAAAGTTAAAAGCATGACTAAATTAAATGCAGGCAAGTATGCTTGTGTATGTAACAAGAGGTATTTTCATATTTCTTTAGCATTCAAATCTCTGTTGATTATCTTTTACTTCTACTTAACGTATTGTTACATAGTGCTTTCCAGCAAGTATAACACAACTGGAAAGCACTCACAGTCTCTTCTTTACATACATCAGGTACGTATTTATATATACATTTCAAAATTAAAACATTCTATAAAGACATATGTTCTGATATTTTTCGTAACTATTACCAATTATTTATGTATCTAATTCGAATAAAGCGTTAATCCGTTTAAGATGTTTTATCTACTCTTATTGGCTCAAAGAATCTTGTATGTGAAGCCAGCATCCATGTTAAGCTAAATACTATTATAATGGCACATAATATGATACTTCAACATTTTTATAAACATTCCATGAAGATTATTTGGATAATTGCATATACTATACTTAATCTCCTATGATTTCATTCAAATGGCACATAAAACAATGATCATGACTTCTCTACAATTGGTTTCAACACCTTGTATGGATTCAGAATGCCATTCGGATCCATCATTTTCTTTAAATCATACATCATTCGAATCTCGGAAGAACTTCGACTCAAATGAAGGTATTTAGGCTTCTTAAAACCGATGCCATGTTCAGCACTAATGCTCCCGTTACACTTTGAAACATATTCAAAAATAAATGGTTCCAATTGCGCGGCCACATCCTCGTAGTATTCTGGTATAGAAACTTGTACATGGATGTTTCCATCGCCTAAAGATGAAAAAAACGAAATTATTTGCGGATATCAAACTTATTTCAAGATATATAAATTCTTTCTATTATAAAATTATACCTAAATGTCCATAACCGCTAATCCTGACAATCCTCGGATCGCGTATTTGTTTGCGAAGCACCTCGACGACTTCATAAAAAGATGAAAGAGGTAGGGAGATATCGTATTTGAAAACATAACCGTCTCGTAAGACGCCTTCGCTAATTCGTTCTCGAAGTGCCCATATAGTCTGAAAGTTAATTTTTACTATGATGATATGAATTGATAAATATAGTTCCTAAAACTTTAAACATAGATTATCCTTTTATAAAATCCAAATACGATATATTATGTATATATATATATATATATGCGTGTTCAATTTCTAGGAATCATCAATTCATAGCATAAAGAATTTCAGTTTTTAAATGTTTAAAGTAAATTTTTTGCTTTAAGTTGTCACATCTTAGTTTCGTCTGTGTGTTCTGCTACGATATTTGTAATCTGCTATGCTTAAGTAATCAATTAGGAACAATCAAATATAAAGAAGCTCATCTTTTAGACAGTTAATCATTTTATAAGCAGATTAACAGTCGTCATCTTGTAAAGACGTGCAGCAGTACAGTCTGAAATTGTCTCATTACTTCTGATAACTTTATTAAACATTTAGTTGTGTTTAATTTATGTTTATTATTTGCATGTGCATACGTTTAGCTTTTTTGATTCATTAGTCATTGTGCCATCTTCAATGATATCATCATTAATAGCTTTTTCCACAAACGAGGATAACTTTTCTTCATCATGAACACCATGACTGCCTGCAGTTTCAACTATCATATAAAATTCGTGGCCATCCTTACGACTTGTTAATGGATTTTTCAAGCCAAGATTATTTATGGAAACGTCTATAGATAGTCGATCCATCATTTCACAGGAAGAAAGAATTTCTCCTAAATGACGTTTCGCTAAATAATATGTTTTTAACACTTTATCGAAATTTGCTAATCCTGAAATAAAATTAATAATATAAGAATAAAATATATATTTTAGTTTTATAATAAGGTCCGTGTGTTGCATAATTTAATTTATATATTAGATCTAGTAAATATATGCTAACGCGCGCGCGCGCGCGTATTTTTATATTTTATTTACAATTAAAGCATACCTAGAAATGCGATGTTTATGGCCTTTGGCAACGGTGGACATTGAATAGCCACCTTGGTTACAATGCCTAAAGTTCCTTCTGACCCTATAAACATATGTTTCAGATGATATCCTGTATTATTCTTCTTTAACACATTTAATGCGTTTATAATGTCGCCGTTAGCCTTCACCTGAATAAAAACAATTATTTATTTAACATTACTTTCAATTATATTAAATTACAATATATAGAAAAAATTTTAATTGACAAAAAGGAAAAATTTAATTTTTCTAAATTTAAAAAATCTAAATTGTTCTTTCCTAAACTTTCAATAATGGTTTCAAATTTAATAACATAAAAATAAATAATTAAAAAAATATAAATAATTTTAGTTTATAAAAATTTTAAGCATAAAAATACAAGATGAAATCGTATATACTATATATATTGTATATGTGTATACAAAACATAATAACAATAATTACTATTTTATGAAATAATAAAATTATTATTTTAAATTATATAATAATAATTTTAACAATTTGTATTTCAATTCAACTTACTGCTTCGACTCCCAAGACATTTCCATGCAGATTGCCATAACGCAAAAGTCGCAATCCACCCGCATTTGTCGATACACAACCACCAATAAGACAGCTTCCTTTAGCACCCAGGTCCAAAGGCATCATTAGATTAACCTTAGACAAATGGTCATCGAGATCTTGTAAAACACAGCCAGCCTCGCATGTCAGTATACCTATAGCATGATAGTATAATACCAAGTATTTTTAATATAATGGTAAGAAGCGAATAATTGTGCAGTCTTTTTATAACTTATTATTCTTTGAAACACATATTCTCATTGAACACATTATTATCATTAAAAAGAAAGAAAAAACGTTTACATGCAATTCTTATAATTCATACTGTAGTTAAATTATACTCAAAGAATATATGAATTAGATTAAATCTCTTTCTCTCTATCTTTTTATCTTATCTAACTTTTTATAAATATTTATAAATATTTAAATAGAAGATTTGGATAACAAAATTTGATATTAGATATAATCATAAGGTAAGGAAGGTTCTCTCGCTTAAATATTTTAGTAGAATGTCCAAATATATTTAAATATATTCAAATTGATGTCATACTAATTGCACCTACCTGCCAATTTATTCGTGTCCAAAATTTTATTCATTAATTTCATGGAAATGACAATTTCATCGAATACCGGATTGGAACCTCCCACGAGACCAGTGTTTCCGCTTTGCGGGCAAACTGCTAATTGTTGCTCATTGCAGTATTTTAATATTGCTGATACTTCCTTAGTGGATGTCGGTTTCAACACCAGCTGACTTGCACCTGCAATTATATATCAATTATCTGATTTAAAAATGTAAAGCATTTCGAAATTTTACTCTGAAAATTAAAATCCATTTTTTCTATTGTATTTCAACTATTGTACAAATATGACTGCACTCTCTAATCTCTATTCTTATACATCCTTAAATTATAATTTTATATTTTTGGTTCTCTACAAATTCTTATTTTATTATTAAACAAGAATATAAAATTATTTATTTAGCAATAAAATATACATATATTATTACTAAATGAAATGTACATAAAATTTTAGTATTAGATTTGTAAATAAAAAATAAGTGAGAATTCTCTGATTAGCCTATAAATAAAATCATAAAATATACATTGCAACTTTATTTATACCAACATGTTATAATAATAATTTTTATTACAATAAGAAGTTGCTCCTCCTTAAAACAAAAATTATTTTCTCTACTAGTGTGTGTTTTCTAAATCAATTTTTACAATGAAAGATATTTCTTTATTCTCTTACGCTTACCTATTCGTTGCATGCTTACCTCTAACGGTTTTCGCAAAATCGATATTGTAAGTTTCACATTCATACGGATCAGTGATGACGCGGCTAGATCCCAGCAACGAGTCGAAAAAGCGAATGTCTGCATCTGTGATCGTAGCATAGGGCCCACGTTGAGTTTTGTACCTGATCGACGTTAATTCGGGTTTCAAAGCGCCGGTCGAATAATAGCAGCCAGCGATTTTCCAAGAACATTTTACGGTGGCCTTCTTGTATTGAAGCAAAATGCCCATCAGCGCACATCGCATTTTGATTATTTTCTACGATAAATTAATCCTGAAAAAAACACAAGATATATTAAACATTTATAGTTTCATAATTATAAGTCTTAGCTTACATTTTCCTTGCAAAATCGATGAAATAAATGTATTACAACACAAGAAAAATTCCTTACTTCATACAATGAATCGACAAAAGAAAAGAAATATTTGCTCGGAAAAGTTTGCTACTAAAGATTGGTTTAATTTATTACGTATTATACTTTTATTATTGTACTTATGTATTGTCGTAAATAAAGTTTATAATTAAAAAATGCTGTTTTTATCGTAAATCAAAGTATCAAAGAAAAGTACATGCAACTTAATTAAAACCGCTATAAGTAACTCGCATTTGTACTAATAAGCCAAGTCGTAATTAATATCAAGGTCGTCACATTATGTTAAAATAAAAATCACAAATCTAAATTTATAATATATAATTACCAAGTATATACCAAGTATTTTATTCCATCGTTATTTTCATAATAATTCAGATTAAGAATTGACATAAAATATAATTATGAAAAACACTCAAATAAATTAAAATCTACTGTTTTCGTTAACCTTTTTTGTCAAATTTTGTGCGATAAATTAAATATTTACTCACATATATACATTTTTTCACAAATTTAAAAAAATTTGGAAAAATGACACGTTTACTGAATTAAATATAAATAAAAATTTTGTCAATAAAAATGTATACATATAAGTATGAAATATTGGATTCATTATTTTCTAAACAATTGTTAGAAAAAAATATTTTATAGAAATAAATTAATTTAGGTAATAACTATTTAGATAAATAAAAATTATCAATTATTTAATATAAATAAAAATAAATTTTTCTATTAATAATTAATATTTTTATAATATTTAAAATAAAGAAGATAGAAGAAAAAGAAAATATTTAATATTTTTATCGTTTTTATTTATCATTAATACCTATTCTTATTTATTAATTAATAACTAATTTAGTTTTACAATATAAATAATATATATATCATAATTCTAAAAGAGATATATGTGCAAATAAACAGAATAGCGGCAATTTATACAAGTCATATGGCAATGATTCGAGAGATACACTTTTTTAAATAAATTTCAAAATACATGCAAATTACAAATTATAGTTGGCCATTGCATAAATGTATAAGTAATCCATGTTTCAATATTTGTACTATGATATATGACATAATATAAATTATAAATTTTTGATATTAATATGATATCATATATCAAAACACGGCCAATTGTCCCAAGTTCTACGCATACTAAAATTCATGGAAAATAATATTCATTTTGAAATTCACTCTCTTGTGTAATGTTAGATGCTTTGAAAAACTTAAATCCTGAAAAAGTGCTCAAGCCATATTTATTAAATCACTTTATTGTGTCATAGCGTCTTTACAGCTTATTCTCATATAAGAAACGTGTTCCTCGCAAAATGCAGATACCAACAGTCTGAAAATCTATATAGATATAATTTATGTGACGTACATTATAAACTTTCAAGATTATCAGCTATTTCGGAATACATTTATATGTATATTAGCATAATTTCGTAATTTCAGCTTATCGACATAATAAATCATAATTTGATATTGAAACTACCGCCATCTTCAGGTCATGTATCAACTTCGACGAATCTCTGTTCGCATTTATTATCGACACAGTAATTTCGAAAATACGTATTACAAGAATAAGAGCGCGAGCCTCCAAGATCGAATAAAAAAGTAAAAATAAACTATTTGCTATACAATTAAAATCCATTCTTTATAATTAAATTTTGCACTTTTTATCTGTTTTGTTTTTCTTCTAATTACAAGTACTTTTCATCTTAAGAATAAGTATTGTGAAAATATAATACAACTGTATTGAGGTCTAAAAAGAATGATATAAGTACAGAGTCTTGTATAACGCATAACGTATATATATAAGGAAATAAACCAAGTCTTTCATTTCGTGTGTGTGTGTTCCTTTCCATGAAATAAAAGACTGATTGGATGATTTTCTTATACTTCATGAGTTATGCAATGGTCTGACTTTAAGCTCATATCGGACTTGTCAATTTTTGATTGACAGTTCTATTTTGACCAATCACAATATATAGCAAGTCCGGATCTGCTGCATCATGATTGGCTAACACAGAATCAGGCAACCATGAACCGTAAATGGTATCTCCGATACGTTAACTTACCTATATGATCTGATAGATCGTAATATCAATAATTAAAATAAAACGTAATATTGATTTCCGCCATATTTAATCTAACACGAATCAATAACAATCATTTGACATAAAATAAAATATACAATATGATAATTAAAAATAATATTACGATTAATTAAACGTTAATTAAAAACAATTTATAGTAATTTTTTTAAATATTATTTCTACTTACATTAAAAGTCACTCAATTTTTATTTTATTATTATATTTTAATAAAAAGATATCAGTTATAAGTCACTCGTTTTCTCAAATAATGCATAATGTTAAAATATAATAATAAAATAAAGATTGAGTGACTTAATATAAGTAGAAATAATATTTAAAAAATTACTATAAATTATTTTTAATTATCATACTGTATATTTTATTCAATACAAAAAAAAAACATTCCTTTTGTGTATATTTTAGGATCCATTGATTATGAAGATAAAAATACTGTTACACACGAAGACAGATATTATCTCAAATTTTTCTATTCAGTTGTTCACAAAACTAAAGTTATATCTTTCGTATTTACAGAGAAATCTTTTCCCGTTCATATTTACTTCGACTTATCTTCCTAAGCTACGCCATTCAGCTAATCTAATAACCTTTCCTAGTGAACACATCCTACATTATATTCAAATTCTTTTCAATTCTTCGTATTAAACCGTTTCGTGACCACGATAACCCATTGCATATGAACCGGATATACATTGTATGAATGTGTATACGAGAGCGGATTACAAAACAATGTCAGACGGGGGTTACAACGCCGCTATCCGTCTCAGCGTTACAGTGATTAAGGCGTGGCTATATCTTAGCGTGCCTATTTATAGCCGGACATGCATACGGTGCGCCTTTCACGCGCGCAATCGTGCAGAAAGTGCGATTCGTCGCATCCGTCATTGATACAAGACCGTGCGTATGTCGCCCGATCTGCACAATGGCGGGTCAAAGAGCCGCCGATTTTAATAATAATAAGAATCAAAGCTGTGCGGTTCTCACTTGGCGCTACAAATATTTCGAAGCATTCTTTGATTGGTTAATCAGTATATAAAATTCTTTCTTCCGATTGGAGGATTTCAGTCCACTGAGTCGAAGCATTCGTAGCGTCAAAAGTGTCCAAATTATCGTTTGAAAAACCACATGACCCATCCAACTGTATAGATATATACTTCTTTGCTGGACACATGTTTCTCAATATCTTTTATACGTTATCGCAAAATTGCAAGCTTTGAAGCAAGCATGGAATCTTTCCGGTGTAACCTTATCTCGGAAAGATTCATCTCATAATATTTTCTGGGAAATTTTAGAATTCTTTCCTTAAAATGCACTGATATTGATCTGCAACGTAAGTATTTATTTTAAAATTCTAGGAATCGCATAAAGTTAAGTGATAACGATAAATATGAGAATAAAATAATCTTACGAATGCATTAATCGATTTTTTTTTTTATGTGGCATCAAAATGTGACTATCGGATTCCTTTCCTCGAAAAGTCATTGCGAAAGTATTTGAAAAAAAGTCTTTTTTCTCAATCTATTACAGGTGATATTAAAATTCAACGATATAACTTTTATCTATAATTATCATTTATTATTATTATTCTAATATTCTCTTATATTATTATATTTTTGACATAATAATTTACTTATAGCTTACTTTGAAATTAACAAAATATAAAGAGATAAAAAGCAACAGCTTTCTTGGAATCTCAATAAAATTCCTCAAACACGTACCTCTACAAAATTCCACAACTCGTCGAAAATCGCCATTGAGTTTTAAAACACACAAGCAAGCAACCTCCTACAATGCAATCTTGTATCTTAATTATTAATCTTTCATTGATAAAACGATAATCGTATTACGTTTCCTTTTCGCTTTTATTTAATACTATTTTTATCATATAACTGTTACGCGATTGCAAATTTAACGCCTTTTATATATGTAACCATTTTATATACGAGGTCAATGTTGCGATATTTCGCAAATTGGGACATGGAATTCGAATCACCCCGATTTCGAATTAAATAATACAGAGTCAAATATAATAAAAATTAACGCGGCAGCTCTTTTTAAAATTAATTTGCTAAAAGAGTGCGCTTTTGAAAGAACTTCGCAACACATCAGAAACATCGTTTTGCTCTTTTATTTCGTGCACACCTATATATATATGTATATACATAATTCTACCAGTCCATACATAAACGATACGTGACTTTCTGTTACCGCTCGTGCTATCGATAAATTATAGATAATCGAGTAAAAAGAAACGCGTCAAAGGCGCACGAATAAAACAAATTTCTCTGCGCGCAAAGAAAATCGAAGTAAAAGAACAAACGTGGTGCGCGCTTTGTACATCGTTACGTTTCTATTGTTTCCAGGTGCTCGCCCGTTTCAGAGTATCGTTAATTTCCACGTTACAATTGTATTCGTGCAATTAGTAGTAATCCGTCCGAGTGCTCTTCATCATGAACATTCTCTGTAACGTTATTCGATATGTAAATCATACTTTTTTATTCATGGTGTGCTTATTTAGATATATATGCTCTATATATATACATCGCGCGCACAATTCGACGCAAATAAATGAACGCGCCACGCATGTTCGATTTCGCATCGCGATTTTTCGATTGACGGAAAACGTTTCCCGAACGTTCCGTAATTGAGTCTATATAATTAATCAGTCTCGCGACAAAACGTCGTTCGCGAATAAGATAACTCGTGATCTGTCCGTTTAAATAATCACAGTTATCGCACGTCCGCGAAAAACAGTAAAGGAAGGGACTTATTAAGAATTTAATTTT